GCTTGAGGTTCTCTCAGTTAGGGGCCCTTGTTTGCAAAAATATCTGGGAGGTAACCTTACCCTAGAAGTTCAAGAGTGTGCTGGTACTGACCTTAGAGACTAGTCTCAAAAAGTAACACCCAAAGAACAGGAAATAGGTGAGTCTGAGACTGGCTTACAACTTGAACATGCTATGAGGTTAGAACAAAGATGTCAAACTAGTGTTTCTCATTCTGGGCATCTGTCCGTAGCAGCTCTGTTCTGACTCATGTGAAAAAGGGAGTCACTTCCTAAGAAATAAGTAAAAAGACAAAAAAAGATAGGAAGAAGAATAATTCCCAGAGTTCTACTCAGTTACTACTGCCCCCAAATGAGCTCCAAACTATGGCAATGCCACCCACAAAAGAAGGACAAAACAGTGACCATCTGATTACAGATGTGGAAAGAAATTGGACAGCAAGATGGTTTCTTTACACAATGATGCTTGGGAAACTGACAATAGATAGTATCTTTTAAAAATGTTACAAATACTGAGCCTCTTCTTTCCAGGTCTGGGAGCTAGGTAACATCAGGACACCTTTATCAATAAACAAAGTCTAGAGGAGACAGTTGAGAACTCGAGAGTCAGTGGTCAGGACACAAAGAGTGCTTTACAAGAGTTGGGACACTGCAGTTCCATTTTTGTTCCACTTAGATAAAACCTGTAGAAATATCTGAGGGTCAGATCATTCACCTCTAGATGAAAACCGAACTTATTTCACAGATCTCTGAAACATGCAGATACTGAGTTTCATCCGCCTTTTAGAGATGAGGGAATAAAGCCACAGGAACCTGTGCATACTTGCCCAGACTGGCATTCAATGTACTAGTGGGAATGATAAAACCTTGACAGGAATTTTTGTTTGTGTTTTTACTAATAGGCTTTAAACATATAAATTTTTTAAAGCCGACCAATTCTGGATGTCATGGTTGCATGCAGGGTAAGATAGAGATCAAGTGAACTACAAAGAATATTGCTCTCACTAGAATGTAGCTCACTTAAGAAAAGTTACTTAACTCTTTCTAGGCTGAGAATGAACATTTTAGACAGCTAGAGAGCTGTGATGAATTTTCCACTGCAACAACAAAGAAAGTTGTATTCTCTTCAATTTTATCAAACATTTTTAATGCGCAACAGTTACTTTTAAATACTTTCCACATTCCATTGACATGAAATTTGTTAAAGCATGGTGAAAATAATTAATTTGGTGATTCCATGCAGGACGTATGTAAGATTCTGTGTTATTCATCGTGGGGAACACTAACATGTATAAGGACAAGACACAAGGACTTGATCTTGTTTTGGAGGAAACAAATGTAGCATTATACAAAAATAAGAGGGCTTGCCATCAAACAGACCTAGATTTTAATTCCACTTCTGCCACTTAATAACTGTGTGACTTTGGCAAGTTACCAGTCTCATTGAGTCTCAATTTTCTTTTCTACAAAATTCAGATGAATAGATGAATATTTGCAGAGAGTTGCTGGGAGGACAGAGTGCAGATCTCATCAGGAGTATACTGAATAAGAACAGTCACTGGAAAATACATCATATGAGTTAGAAAATGACACATGACATAAGAAAAATGTTTCCTCAGAGCAGTGTTTGAATAAAAAAATGTTTGACCATACTAGTTTTGTTTCTAAAGAAGTAGTAATAAAATTCCAAGAGTAATAAATAGCTATCACTGCATTATATGTGCCAGTTTTTTTTTTTTTTTTAAATTCTTGAGTCAGGGTCTTATTTTGTGGCCCAGGCATAATCACTGTGCAGTGGTATAATCACTGCTCACCACAGCCTCAACCACCTGGGCTCATGCAATCCTTCTGCCTAAGCCTCCTGAGTAGCTGAGACTACAGGTGCGCACCACCGTGCTCAGCTAACTTTTCAAAAAAATTTTCTGTAGAGATGAGGTTTTGCTATGTTGCCCAGGCTGGTCTTGAACTTCTGGGCTTAAATAATCCTCTTGCCTTGGCTTTCTAAAGTACTGGGATTATAGGTATGAGCCACTGTGCCCAGATTACACTGTTTTTGATTACTCCTATGTATTTTCTCAGTAATATATGGCAATATATGATACCTCCCTTTTTTTTTTTGAGTTGGAGTCTCACTCTGTTGCCCAGGCTGGAGTGCAGTGGCACACTCACGGCCACCCCAGCATCAACCTGCTGGGCTCCAGCGATCTTTCCGCCTCAGCCTTCCAAGTAGCCGGAAATACAGGCACGTGCTACGATGTCCAGCTAATTTTGTTTATCTATTGTAGAGACGAGTTCTCACCAAGTTGCCTGGGCTGGTCTTGAACCAGTGGGCTCAGGCAACTCACTCGCCTCGGCACCCCAAAGTGCTAGGATTACAGGCTGAGCCGCCAAGCCCGGCCAGTATCTCCCTTTAGGCTATAAACTATAATGGTACATTTTGGGCTTTGTGTAATTTACCTTTATTTACAGAACACTGTTTCTATAGCATGGATCAAAAGCAGGTACAGTTGTTTTATATTTGAGTACAATTACAATATAGTTGATACCAGTGTATGGCAAACAAAATTTCAGGGCCTTTGTTGAAGAAAGATGGGAAAGGATTAAATTGTTTGGTATTATTATCTTTTATGGGTTAACTCTGTGGCAAAATTCTACATTGCCTTTTGTGATGACTATTTGCTACTCACTCTTTGAAGATGTATCAATTCTCTGAATTTGTTTAAAAATGAGGGCGAATTAAGGAATTGGGCCAAATGACATGCCCTACCCACGAAATTAAGTTTTCCTCCAGAAAGGGAGGTTCTGTGCTGGAGGCACATGTTTCATACACACTGACTTGAATGAAATGAGGTCCTTTATGCTTTCAACTCTACAGTTATTTTTGAAAATCATGTATTCATTAAGAGACTATTTGAATAAATGAATCGTGCTTTCCTCAGAACTAATATGTCTTTGTTTATATATAGTTATCTTTAAAAACTAAGATATTTGCACAAGCAATAAAAAATGTGTAAAGAAAGTATTTTCTGGAAATGGTGCCTATTTCCTATAGTGATATTATTGTATCAGTATGCTGATAAACCTTAGCAGTGGTTAACTTAGTTCCATGTCTTCCAAGAAGTCCTCCATGCTGGGTTAGATCCTCTTTCTATGTATTCTCTTATCCCGAATCATACTGGAATGTTTATGTCTGTTTCCTCATTATATTCTATGTTCTGTGGACAATACTGTCATATCCAGCTTTCTGTGCCTAGTTTAGTGACAAACAAGTTAAACATAGGCATTTCTCCAAAACAACTTTGTGACTAAATTAATACATATGAAAACTGTAATCTTTAATGGCTTTGTTGCTGGTGTCCTTTTTACAGGCTAGAATTTGGCCCAGAGTTCTTATGTTTGTTTTGGGAGAATATTTTGATTCATTTCTACGAAGCGTTTTATCTGACCCTGGCTATTTCAGAATTCGGCTACTGTGTGGGTTCTAGGCACAAGAGTCTTGCTTAAAATAGTAGAAAGTGTCATCCTTGAGGGTAAACAAGAGCGTTTTGTGCTTCGGGTAAGCTTTGTGTTCCATGTTCTCCTCCAGATGTGACAGTACTTGGTGCAAGACCGTGAGCTCCTTGAGGCAGAAGCCATGGTATTCAAATCAAAGTTTCCTGGGTTCAGAACTTATATGTGCCAAAAAGTAGGCAGCTCAGTAAGCATTTGCAGTTTCCAGTACGGATCAGTACTGTGACTACTTTTAGTTACTAACAGGACCAGACACTGAAACAAGCTCTAAAGCCCCAAAGAAAAATCATCTGGAGCCATCCTGGTCCATCTTCAAAGTACCAATCTGTGCATGCTTTTCACCGCGCCAGGAGCTTTCACCCATTTTTACTTCTCATAGATCTCCCCCTTTTTTTTCTTCCTGTGGTTTGCAGTTTTTGAATGACAGCTTATCCTAGTGGGGATTGTTTATAGCCTAGGATCCCAGGAAGTCTAAAGACTATGGTAATGTCGTTACAGAAATTCTCATGATCCTCTTATTTTAAAAACTGAGTAATATATAACCTATACAGAGTACACTAATCTTAAGTGTCCAGTTCGATGAATCTTTACATGTGTGTATATCCCATAACTACCACCCAGAACAAGACACAGAGCATTTCCAGCTCCCATTAGGTTCCCTCGTGCCCCTTCCCACCGAACATGCCCCCATCTCCCAGAAGTAACATTATGCTAACTTCTCTCACCATCGACAAGCTCTGCGCGGCATTATTGTGGAGGAAGAGTTACGCGGAATGATTTGGCCCACAGTCCAGCCCGAGCTGGAAGAGACCCTGGCTCGGTTCCCTCCCTACTGGGCATCCCGCGGAAGCTCCCAAGGGTTCACTGAGTCACGGCTCCGCTGGCACCGACCCGAACCAGACCCGCCAAGAAGGTGGTTCTCGGGGCGGATCCCTCACGCCCAGCAATGGCAGGAGGACCCCAGGCCCCAACGAAGGGCGTTCTGGGCCCCACGTAGGCAGTGCCAGAGCACGCCACAATGGCTGCCCGCGGTCTCCTGCGCCGGCCTCTCCGCGGGCTCCCCACTTTTGGGGCGGGCGCCCCTCCCGCGACGGGCAGCCGGGCGTGGCCCTGGGCGCGTCCCAGCGAAAGGCAAGCGGCCAGCTATGGCGCTCCCGGGCCAGGGATGTGGAGCGCGTGCCCATTGGCTGCGCTTTCCCCCGCGAGCCGGCCGGCCGCAGAGCCCACCCCCTGGTCCTCTTTCCGCGCCCCCATTGGCCGTTCGCGTCCCGCAGGCGTCCGCTCCCGCCCCCCTCCCGCCCCCTCCCGCCCGGATGAAAACCGGGTTGGGGGGGTGGTAGGCCGAAGCAGGGAGGAGGGCGAGCGGTCCTCCTGGTAAGGGTGCGCGCGCGAGCCAATCAGAAGCAGACGTGGAAAAGAGGCACGACGCCAGCCAATCAAATCCCGAGGTGCGGTCGGGGCCGGTGACGCAAGTGCGGGCTGCAGCCAATGGGCGTGCCAATGCCCGTCCACTTTTCAGCAGCCGGTCGGGGGCGGTGGAAAAGCTAGTGAGGAGAGCGCGACGGCGGCGGCAGCGCAGCCATTGCTGGACCTCCAGAGGGAAAGCGAGGCCCGAGCATCTTCGTCTAGGTAAGAGGCGAGGGCGCCGGCGGGAGAGGCC